TTCAATAACTACAGGGAGATGAATGGTGAGATGCCGGAGGAAGCTTTTAATTTATGTAGATATTCTAAACTAAGTGTTTTAATAACTTTCAAATGTAGTAACAGGTCCATGTAGAATTAACAACCCTTTACATAACACAATAGAAGCAGTGTTCTGATAATATAAACAATGTTCACCTTTGACCTTTCATTGTCTTTCACAGCAGATACAGATGCTGTGTCTACCAGCATTTAGACTGGGGCTACCTTTGGCGAACATGTCAGAATACACAGGCGTTCTCCCTCTCCATGTTGACTGATTCCATTCAATTCAATAATATAAAAAAGGCAATGCAAGTAAAAGTTGTGTCTAGTACATGTTTTATGCCGAGTGCCAGGTCTCTCTCCATTCAGAGACGTCAGTATCAAGCCCGTCTGTCAGTCTGGACTTCATCACATCGTCTTGCAAGTCTACATGTGCTGGGCTCCATACATGTTTCTGTGAACACATACGCACACAGTCACTGTTCTATTACCAATGGCAGTTAGAGATAGGTGATATCTGACACACAAACAGATACTGTGTTGAAGTTTGAACAGGTCAGATAAAACCCACCCAATTATGGTCTCTGCATCAAACGACCGAGGCTGGCGTCTGGCAAAAGCATCTCCAGTCCATCTGTAGAAATAGGCAGAGTTGAGGCAGAGTTAATCAGTGACACATTGAATGAAAAGGGGTGTTGCAAATAATGGATATTTCTGCTGTTCTGTATTATTAGTAATCCCCTTCAGTCCCACATGGTGGATGTGTTGAGTGGCAGGTCTCTCTCCATTCAGAGACGTCAGTATCAAGCCTGTCTGTCAGAGTGAAGTCAGTATCAAGCCTGTCTGTCAGAGTGGCAGGTCTCTCTCCATTCAGAGACGTCAGTATCAAGCCTGTCTGTCGGTAAGGACCATCACATCATCTTGCAAGTCTCCAAGTGCTGACTACATAGATGCATCTGTGAACACATACGCACACAGTCACTGTTCTATTACCAATGGCAGTTGAGGATAGGTGATATCTGACACACAAACATATACTATGTTGAAGTTTGAACAGGTCAGACTAAACCTACCTAATTCTGGTATTCTTTTGGTATTTTATTAGGATCCCCGTTAGCTGTTGCGAAAGCAGCAGCTACTCTTCCTGTGGTCCACACAGACTCCCCATCTACGACCGTCGGTGAGCAGGCAAGAGCTGAGGTCTTTGCCCCGTTGATGGGCATGGCAGTGTAGATCAGCTCCTGGCCCCTCATCAAAGATACTGGTCGGTCACACTCAAACACACACACACACACAGAGCACTGATTTCATTATCAACGGTGGTTATGATTAGCCTGGGTGGAACCAACCTGATCGCTGCGTTCACCTTTCTATCACTTCAGACATCATGCTACGTGAAGTGAAATAGAACGGTAAACGCAGCAATCAGGCTGGTTCCACCCAGGCTAGGTTATGAAGGTGAATTGGGACAAAACTCGAAACTGTTTTGACCAGGTCAAATGTCACCCAACCTGATTCAAGTGTCCTCCCTTTTCCATTTACAGGAATGCTCACAGCGAGGGCATATCTAGTGTTGCTGAGGGCCCCCTTACTGGTCTTCTCTGTGTTACGTGTTCGGCTGTAAACGGGACATCTCTCGAACAACTGCAGCAGACAAGCCACGTAAACAATGTACATCCTCATCTTATGAGGTGGTGTTGACCCGGGGAGGGTCTGTGACAGGGTGATACAACAGACAGCCAAGTGGTAAATTGCAGTTTGTTATAAAGAAAGGACAACGTTTTTGATAAATCACTTTTACAACCAAAATGAATGTACTACCTGTATCTGCTTGGCTGGATAATTAACCTACTGGTTTATCAAAGCGGGAATTTTTTTTATACAACTTTTTTACGTAACAGACATTACCATTGTTGATGAAGCCGTCAGTGTCATCAGAGCAGTAACTTGGATCAAGCTAATTCTAGGTTGTCACTAGTTACCACAGCCACAAAGTCATAAAGTCATATTTCTACAATTTATCTTCTTAAAATGTGATTGTATACCTAACCCTAACCGTAACCCTAACCTTAAACACACTGCTAACGTTATGCCTAACCCTAACTTTAAATTAAGAAAACGTGTTTTGTTTTAATTCGTTTTTACGGTATAGCCAATTTTGACTTTATGGCTGTGTTCAATAGTGGTAATTCTGTGCTTTACAGATGTAGACTGACTGTAGCTTCAGATTGGATTAGATTCAGGCCTGTGACGTTACGGTTTGTTGCTCCTAGTTCACTGTATTAGTCAGACTCAGACATGAGTTGGTGTCACGGATTCTGCCGAGGCTGCTCCTCCTCCTGGCTCGGGCAGGCTTCGGGCGTTCGTCGTCCCCGGAGTACTAGCTACTGCCGATCGATGTTTTCGGTGTTTGTCTTGTGTTGTCTAGTTAGTACACCTGTTGCATATTAGTGTTGATTGTTTAGCATATATAAGTTCCCTTGTTTTACGTTTGGGCTTTGTGTGTTATTGTTCATTGTCTTGTTGATGTTCGGCCTAGCTACTACTTCGGATTACGCATATGGTGTTTTTTCCCACCAGTGTTGGAGACGTTTGTTTTGTGCGTAACGCTCAGTAAAGTAGTCAACCTGATTCTCTGTGTCCTGCGTCTGACTTCACTCGCCGCGTACACATCACCTCCTGACAGAATAACACACCACCATGGAGTCAGCAGGACCAGCGGTACCAACGGAGTCTTTAGAGGAGCGCGTCAGCAGCCAAGACGCCATGATCCGAAGACTCGGCACCGCCATGCAGGATGTGATGGACACTTTGAGCCGATGGGAAAGAGGAGGTTTGCCCACACCTCCTCCTACAATACCACCACCATCGGCCAGACCCATCGTTCCATCTCCGGAGTCCAGTGGGATTCGGCTCTCGCTCCCGAGGGCTTATGATGGCACCGCAGCCGGGTGTCAGGGTTTCCTGCTTCAAGTAGAACTCTACCTGGCAACCATTCAACCGGCGCCCTCGGGATACGAGAGCGTTTCCGCCCTCATCTCCTGTCTATCCGGCAAGGCATTGGAGTGGGCCAATGCCGAATGGAGGGGAATAGACGCCGCCACCATCAGTTATGCGGAGTTCTTCAGGGCGGTTTTCGATCATCCCCCAGAGGGGAAAGCGGCGGGGGAGCGTCTCTTCCACCTCCGACAGGGGAAGAGGAGCGTGCAAGATTTCGCCCTGGATTTCCGGACTCTGGCGGCCAATGCGGGATGGAATGAGAGGGCCCTCATCGACCACTATAGGTGCAGCCTATGGGAGGACGTTCGCCGAGAGTTGGCCTGCAGGGACACCAACTTGAGCTTCGATCAGTTGGTGGACATGTCGATCCGTCTGGATACCCTGCTGGCTACCCGCGGACGTCCGGAGTTGGGGCCGTCCATTCCATCCCCCAGCACCTCCGAGCCGAGCCCTATGGAGCTCGGGGGTGCTGGTGCTAGAGAGAGGAGGAGAGAGACCCGGAGAGAGGCTGTCCCCTGCACCAACTGTGGCCGTAGAGGACACACTGCGGTTCGGTGCTGGGGAGGGTCTCCTGGGAATCGAGGCAGTAGGCAGCGCACTGATGAGTCATTCCAGGTGAGTAAGTGCCCAACTCACCCAGAGCTCTCTGTTGTCCACTTGTGTATCCAAGTTGAATTTCCCCAGGTTTCATCTCATTCCCAGCATAAGGCACTAGTCGATTCAAGCGCAGCTGGGAATTTTATTGATCGCAATTTCTGTTATAAGTTAGGTATTCCCCTCCTACCAGTAGATGTGCCTTTCCCTATCCATGCCCTAGACAGACGTCCTTTGGGGTCAGGATTGATTAGGGAGGTCACGGCGCCACTTAAGATGAAGACGCAGGGGGGTCATGAGGAAATTATACAGTTGTATCTGATCGACTCTCCTGCGTTTCCCGTGGTGCTGGGGCTTCCTTGGTTAATATCGTATGTGTAGTGCTAAGGCAAAAACCAAAACGTGAACCCCTTTGTAGGCAATGTAAGGCCATCGAAGTCTTATGTTAGGCTCCTAGGGGAGAGCGCTGAGAGGGCTGAGGGTAAGACTGAATAAAGGCAGATTCACAGAGAGACAGAGAGGCACCAGGGGTCCGTGACAGGTGGGTCGAGTTATGGATGAGCCTTGCATGATAGCAGCACAGGGTGTGGGGGGCAATTAAATTTTTTAAGATGATAGCAAATTATTTATAGTAAGGTGCAGGGGCTGGAGCGAGACGGGGGGGGGGGGAGGAGAGGGAGAGGGAGAGGAGAGAAGGGAGAGAGGGAGAGAGAGAGAGAGTAAGAGATAAGCGAGAGAGAGAGAGAGAGAGAGAGCGAAGCGAGATGAGAGAGAGAGAGAGAGAGAGAGAGAGAAGAGAGAGAAAGAGAGAGAGATAGAGTAGAGAGAATACTAGATAGACTATTTCCTCCTCTCTCTCTACGTCTCGCCTCTCCGCTCTCTCCTCTCTCTCGCTCTTTCTCGCATGCTCTCTCTTTTTTTTGACTGTCCTCCTCTCTCTTCTCTTCCTCTCTCAGAGAGAGAGAGAGTCACTCATTAGCACTACATTATCACTTGTGATTATCACTTTTCATCTGTGGGCATACACAGTACGTATCACCAGATTAACGATCCTGGCTTCTCTTCCCTGTTTTGTCGTTGAGCCACTTTCAGCTGAACCGCTTTGGTTTCAATTAGAGTCTACTGTTTAGCTTCCACCATGTTCAATGACATCTGCACCTGGTGGCATCACACAAACACACAGGAATACACACACACACACACACCACACACACACATAGGCACCACACACACACACACACACACATAGGCACACACACACACACACCAGCTGCTCCGATCTGAAAATATACATTCCTCTCTCTTTCAGAGCAGGAGAAATGGCGGTAATTATACAAAACCTGTCCTACTACTCCTGGGTAGTCCCTTGTCATACCTAAACAATCAACAGTCTGCTCTACTGGGTGGCTGAGTGGTGGTGGGGTGACTGGGTGACTGGGTGACTGGTTGGCTGGGTGACTGGGTGGCTGGGTGACTGGGTGGCTGGGTGACTGGTTGGCTGGGTGGCTGGGTGACTGGGTGACTGGGTGACTGGTGACGGTGACTGATTGGCTGGGTGTCTGGGTGACTGGGTGGCTGGGTGACTGGGTGACTGGTTGGCTGGGTGACTGGGTGGCTGAGTGGCTGGGTGGCAGGGTGACTGGGTGACTGGGTGGCTGGGTGACTGGGTGGCTGGGTGGCTGGGTGGCTCACACGCTGGGTGGTTGGGTGACTGGGTGGCTGGGTGACTGGGTGACTGGGTGACTGCGTGGCTGTTTGGCTGGGTGGTTGGGTGATGCTGGGTGACTGGGTGGCTGGTTGGCTGGGTGACTGGGTGACTGGGTGACTGGGTGACTGGGTGGCTGGGTGACTGGGTGGCTGGGTGGCTGGGTGACTGGGTGGCTGGGTGACTGGGTGGCTGAGTGGCTGGGTGACTGGGTGACTGGGTGGCTGGGTGGCTGTGACTGGGTGGCTGGGTGACTGGGTGACTGGGTGGCTGGGTGACTGGGTGGCTGGGTGACTGGGTGTGCACAAGTCAAACAGCCGGGTTTGGAGCACATTCTCCTTTATTGTACGTGAACAACACACATATGAACTTTCACACAAAGTTTGCAATACACATATGATATGATTCAAAGTAAACCTGTACATTTGTAAAATAGCAAGAGCAGCATGGCCTGTGTCCATTACAGTGGTAGTATAGAATGGTCTTGACCTGAAATTGAACTGAAACTGAGTCTCCATAAAAATAGAGTGAACCTGAACACAAGTTTGATATGAAACAACCCTGATTTCAAGAGGCAATGACCATTCAGAACCGTATAGACTGAATAGTGGTCCTTATCCACAGAGAGAACGCAGTCCAAAGAGAGCAGAGCAGCAAATCATGAGGATAATAATGTTAATAATAATAAATATACAGTGTCTCTTTCTATCTCTTTCTATCTCTAAATAAGTACTTCATTAGACATCATCATATACCTTTTATATTAATTTCTTCCATCCTGGAGATAAGTAAATGGAAAAGCATAACTCCACTCCAAAACTGTGATGCATGTTTTTTTTCTTCCTAATGTGTTTGCTAGTGTGTGGTGTGTGTGTGTGTGTGTGTGTGTGTGTGTGTGTGTGTGTGTGTGTGTGTGTGTGTGTGTGTGTTGTGTGTGTGTGTGTGTGTGTGTGTGTGTGTTTGTGTGTGTGTGTGTGTGTGTGTGCTTTCGCAATAGAATATTTACCACATTTTCATTTCAGCAACTGACAACCAAAGTTCCAACACAACATAGAATACAGTGGGGGAAAAAAGTATTTAGTCAGCCACCAATTGTGCAAGTTCTCCCACTTAAATAGATGAGAGAGGCCTGTAATTTTCACTAAATACTTTTTTTCCCCACTGTATTAGTTACAGATGCATTGCACTCCTCAAATGTGAACGAACGCCAATTAACAACCAAGCATCAATCTATATTTTCATGTTTGGAGAATAGCATGGTTGCACTACAACGAATGCTGCATTCAATAGTGAGGTCAGCTTTCAGTCTGGTTTAGCCAGGCTAGGAGAACAGAGCCTGTCTTTCAGTCTGGTTTAGCCAGGCTAGGAGAACAGAGCCTGTCTTTCAGTCTGGTTTAGCCAGGCTAGGAGAACAGAGCCTGTCTTTCAGTCTGGTTTAGCCAGGCTAGGAGAACAGAGCCTGTCTTTCAGTCTGGTTTAGCCAGGCTAGGAGAACAGAGCCTGTCTTTCAGTCTGGTTTAGCCAGGCTAGGAGAACAGAGCCTGTCTTTCAGTCTGGTTTAGCCAGGCTAGGAGAACAGAGCCTGTCTTTGCTGCTCATCCCTGCAGTATGACCTTTCAGATCCATTATCTCTGAGGGACATTGATTCCTGCTTATCAGTCAACATACTGTGCTGTGACCTTTCTCAGCTAAACGCACCTTACTTGGTTGATATCACCAATGAGTACACGAACCACCGACATCTAGATCACAAAGGAGCTAAAGGAGAATCTCACAACGCAACACGCATGTTTAGTCTGCTCCCGTAGGAGAATACAAAACACTGACTGACTATGTTACCAACAGGAACAGCACTGAAGGAGATTCTCACCGTAGGACAGGGACATCCAGCTGTGTTTAGTCTGCTGCAGAAGAAAATACAATGGGGGTCTGTGCAACTGGGTACAATAACAACATCAGAAATAAGACAAGAGGTCTTTGCTACTAACTGGGTACAATATCAACATCAGAAAAAAGACAAGAGGTCTTTGCTACTAACTGGGTACAAAAACAACATCATAAATAAGACAAGAGGTCTTTGCTACTAACTGGGTACAAAACACAAAACATCATTAACATAAACAGAAAGAAGGTCTTTGCTACTAACTGGATACAATAACAACATCAGAAAAAAGACAAGAGGTCTTTGCTACTAACTGGATACAATATCAACATCAGAAAAAAGACAAGAGGTCTTTGCTACTAACTGGATACAATATCAACATCAGAAAAAAGACAAGAGGTATTTGCTACTAACAGAAGCGACACTGAAAATAACATTCCTGTCCGTGGCATAGCCTGATGATTCAAACCAGTACAAGCCTCAGTCTAGTCTGCTGTACGGGAGAAGGACATCAGATTGTAACTCATTTTCTACTGAGTGAGTACAGTAACAAAAACGACAAGCTCAAAGATGCATGATTCTCTTACGTTTCTCACAACACTGAAAATACCCCTTTCTGTCCATTGACATTGCCTTATAATGACATTGAGTTCAGACCAACTCAAGCCTCAGCGTTGTCTGCTGTACAGGAGAAACACATGAGGATGCGCCTGTGCTGTCGTATTTTATCAGGGGGACCCCCAAGTTCAGAGGGAAAATACCACAACCCCACTGACAATGACCTTACTCTGCTACTAGACAATAACAAAGGAGAAAACTAAATGAAAAATTACTATTTTTCAAAGGTTCAAATGTTCAATTTTTATCCCACACGTCACAATGAAAATAAGTGTGCATGGTATTGTCATTTTGGAAAGGCTAAACTTCAGAATACTGCTTTTCTATATTTCGATTATTATTTTATTATTATTTTTGAGCGGAAGCTTGACATTTGAGCGTTCTAATCGATTGGACATTAATTCATAATTTATTTTGAACGTCTATGTGCGTTCTGGTCTCAAATTAAGATTCAGCCATCAGACCTTTTGCCACATTGAATAAAGTGCCTGGTGTTTTGCACCAAGTGGGAATGTAAGGGAAAGGAATGTGGTGGTGTTTGGATAATAAATGCTGGTCTAGCTGATTTAAATCAAGGACAAGGGGAGGTACGGCACCTCCCTGGAACACAAACAAACACAGACTGTTACGAGTTACAGAAGGTCAGACACGAGATTACTCTGGGTAGGTCTCTGCCTTGGTATTAAAACAAAACAAAAAACTGCCTTAACAACCGCCTGGTTAAAAACGTAATTACTAGAAGGTCAGACAGGCTGTGTCCCTGTGCTCTGGCTGTCTCTCTAACACTCCACAACACCTTTTTTTATAACCATGTTTAAAGAAGCCTGTATAACACTCCACAACACCTTGTTCTAACCTTGGTTAAAGAGGCCTGTACAACGCTCTACAACACCTTGTTCTTACCAAAAACAGGTTTTACAACATCCAATGAGATTTCTCTGGGTCTACAGTATGTGCCCTGGCTGGAAAAAAAAAGAAGAAAAAAAAAAAAGACATTTCTAACAGAAATAGAATTACTAGAAGGAACAAAGCTCCTCAGACCATGGCAATTTGACACCATGGTCTGGTCATGTTTACCCAGGCCAGAGTCTTGAACGTTTAGACTAATCAGAGAGAATTATATTAGGACTGATTGGTACAGCGATAGATAGGTTAAGAGCCTCTTCATTCGTGCTTCTATAATGAATGGTGGTCCTAGTCCTCTCTAAATACGTCACAGACAGCTGTAGGACAGCGGCACACAGAGTTGTTGTGAGGAAGGAAGGAAGGAAGGAAGGAAGGAAGGAAGGAAGGAGGCCATTTTGGGGCCAGTATTTTAAGTTTCTTTGGAACTGAACCTTAGGAATTGTAATTGTATCCTCATGTCTTCCAGTGCTGCATCCTTATGTATTGAGCTATACCCAATGTATGTAATGTCTTTCAGCTCCCTGCCTGAGTGTAAGACAACAACCCTCTCTATAGCCTTTGCACTCTCTATTGCCATTCCTTTGTTGCTCAGTTGGTAGAGCACGGCGCTTGTAACGCCAGGGTTGTGGGTTCGTTTCCCACAGGGGGGGGCCAGTATAAAAAATGTATGCACTCACTAACTGTAAGTCGCTCTGGATAAGAGCGTCTGCTAAATGACAAAAAAATGTAAATGTACTATAGATGTTAATAATTAATAAATTGTAATTGTGTCTTCCAGTGCTGCATCCTCCGTTTCGGATAAGAGCGTCTGCTAAATGACTGTAGATCCTGTCAAATGGCGTACTTCCTTATGTATTGAGATATATGTATGTCTTTCAGCTCCCTGCCTGAGTGTGAGACAACAACCCTCTCTATGCTGTAAAGACCAACGGGGTACACAGCTAAGCATAGGACATAAAACCCACTTTCAATTCTGCTGTGTATAAGATCTCACCCACCTACCGACGGTGGTAGTTTGCTACGGCTTTTATCGGAAAAGGAAAATGTAAACGTTTACAGAATAATTTATCAATCCGAATCTGTGATCAGTTTGGTGATCATTCAATAGCTACCGCAGTAAATGTTAACACTTTGTCACACAGTGACACTGCTGGTCATTTTCTTCGTTTAAAAGCTGAAAACAGTTGGTGCTCAGGGATCTTGTCTTTCAGATGAAAGGTGTGTGTTCAGTAGGGCACACCGAAGCAAAACAGAAAATGTATTCGACAATTTCAGGTAAGATCTCTCCGTTTCGCTCGGTTTTCTCCCACAGTAAACACACACTAAACACACAGTAACAGCGCAAATATTGAGTTCTCTTTTAAAAAACACTTCCATCAAATTGAACCTGAGTACATCTTTACAGTTGACTTTAGTAATGTTTACGCCGGATCCTTTTACTTCAATCATAGTTGACACACACACACACACACACACACACACACACACACACACACACACACACACACACACACACACACACACACACACACACACACACACACACACACACACACACACACACACACACACACACACACACACACACACACACACACACACAAACACACACACACACACGGACTGATGGACGGACGGACGGACAGACAGACACCTTTTACAGTGAGACTCTATATTTATATCTATTGATAATCTATCAAGAGTGCAAACAGCAACAAATAGTATGGTGTCTGATTGAAAACAGAGTATTTACAGTATTCCCTATGCACAGCATAAGGCCCACCAGGTTGGAAGCTTGCCAGTATTTGCCCCCCAGACACACACACACACACACACACACACACACACACACACACACACACACACACACACACACACACACACACACAAACAAACTCAACATTATACAGCTTTATTCGACCCACAGAAGCACCCTGCACCATTCTACAATGTTATCATAGCTCTGTGTGAGGGCCTGTGTGTATGTGGTGTGTGAGGGCCTGTGTGTATGTGGTGTGTGTGTGTGTGTGTGTGTGTGTGTGTGTGTATGTGGTGTGTGTATGTGGTGTGTGTGTTGTGTGTGTGTGTGTGTGTGTGTGTGTGTTGTGTGGTGTGTGTGTGTGTGTGTGTGTGCAGAGCGGTACAGAGCAGTGGGTTCATACAGTGGCGTTACTGATGGGGAGAAATTCTTCCTGCTCCATGGTACGGTAAGGTACGGACCATGGGGGATATTTATAAACATGGTGAATATAGGGAAGCTATTCACTCAGTCAGTCATCTGTCATTCCTCCGTGCAGACCAGGGCTGTGAGGCATCAAAGCAGACAGAACGATCACTTCACGATGGAACTCGTGTTGCTGGTGCTGCTACTGCTGCTCGAAAGGCCAGCAGTTAAACTGAGGATGACATGTGTGAGAGAGTGAGAGAGAGAGAGAGAGAGGAGGAGAGAGAGGTGAGAAGAGAGAGAGAGAGAAGAGGATAGAGGAGAGGAGAGAGAGAGAGAGAGAGAGAGAGAGAGAAGAGAGAGGAGAGAGAGAGAGAGAGCGAGAGCTAGAGAATCGAGAGGGAGGAAGAGAGAGAGGAGGAGAGAGAGAGAGAGGCAGATATACTGTATACAGAGAGACACACACATACACAGAGAGAGAGACAGAGAGAGAACAGGACCATCTCCGTGTGTTGATAGAACACAAACAGTACTTGAGTGGATCAGTGGAATTCCAGGGTATGAGAGTTCTGGAAGTGACAGAACATGGCAACAGAGACAGTCTGAACCTCACACCACTAGAGAAAACACTCATTCAGTCTCTCTGTACCTCACACCACTAGAGAATACACTCCTACAGTCTCTCTGTACCTCACACCACTAGAGAATACACTCCTACAGTCTCTCTGTACCTCACACCACTAGAGAAAACACTCATACAGTCTCTCTGTACCTCACACCACTAGAGAAAACACTCATACAGTCCCACTATGACGTAATGAGGTTGGAGCTGGAGATTAGGTGTTAAGGGGTTGGGGGTTGGGGGTTGGGGTGTGGGCAAGGAGGGTTGCCACTGGAGAATGATGGCCAGCAGGTCGCAACCAATAATAGGTGGACACATTTTTTATTTATCCTTTTATTTAACCTGTCTTGTTTATTTTTATTTTTTAGGAAGCCCTCAGCCCTGGATTGTATTGGTGTGGCCCAGAGGAAAGGCCTAGTGGTGTCGGGGGTTTCAGGGGTAGACTGGATGTGTAGTGTGTACTCTCCCGAGTGGCGCAGTGGTCTAAGGCACAGTAGCTGTGCCACTAGAGATCCTGGTTCGAATCCAGGCTCTGTCGTAGCCGGCCGCG